TAATTGGTAAATATTTACACTATATATAGTGTAAATATCTAAAATAAACCAAATTTACATATATTTTTAGAATAATTTATTCCATAATAGATCTCAACTAGTGCCACTATTAAGAGGCAGTTGAGGAACAGAAACGTAGTTCTCTACTCAATACCTATTTTCTCTTTCCTCTTTACAAAAAGCCTAGATTTGGAGGGGGTAGGGGGTGAATCAATGTGTCTATCTTTAAAAAAAATTTCTAGTTTTCCATGAAGATAGTAGCCATGTAACAGAATTCTGGTCAAGAATATACAGATTGTTGTTTGGTGCTTAAGTAAAATTCTTTAAAAGGGTGATAGACTTGGTTCTGAAATGCCAAAGAGAGGTCTAGTCTTTTTTCCAGCTCATGGACGGTAACCTCTAAACCCTTGAAATTTCCTGAATAACAGGATTGTTATTTGTGGTAGGCCCCTCTAACCACATCTGATAGTTTATGTTAATCAGATTATTCATGGTAAGCCCCCAGATAGTTTACACTAAGAAGAAGACTCATGATGTAGGCTACCCAAGCCACAAAGACCAACCATGTGATTAGAGCATTGGGGCTTTGAGCCATGCAACAGCCCCAATATGTTATGGTTTGGCTGTGTCCCTATCTTCTTTTCCTCTGGGGAGGAAAGAAGGGGAGCCTAGAGATTGAGTTCTACCAGGTAGGTGATAATCCAATCAATCATGCCTATGTAATAAAACTCCAATAAAAACTCTGGACACCAAAACTAGGTGAGCTTCCTGACTGGCAATACTCCAAGTGTATATTGCTACATATTGGTGCTAGGCAGGTACTGAGCCCTTGAGGATGATGCCAGGAGGGTAACATATCCTTAAGAATAATGGAAGCTTCACATTGGGAATTCTCCTAGTCCCACATTCAGCCCTATACATCTCTTCCTTTGGCTGGTTCAGATTTGTATATTTTTGCAAAAAAAAAAAAAAAAGAAAGAAAGAAAAAAACTCCACAAAACTACAATTGTTAAGTATAGCACTTTACTGAGTTCTGTAGGTTATTCTTGCAAATTATCAAACCTGAGGAAGTCTGTGAGGATCTACAAGTTTGAAGCTAGTTGGTCTGAAGTCAGGATGGCACTAAGAACCCCCAAATTGTGGTTGATGTCAGAAGTCTTGAACAAAGTTGGCAGTCTGGAGGACTGGGCTCTTAGCCTCAAATCTGGCTACCTTGAGTTGACTTTGTTTTTCTTTTCTTCTTTTCTAAATGTAATGCTGGATGTAGAAAAGCCATCTTGTGACAACAAGGAGACAAATATATGCCAAGTCTATCAGACAGGGTTTAATCAGGTAAACTATTTCAAAAATGATGTAATACAGGAATGAAGGTCCTTCATTTCTGAAAGAGCTGAAGGGCAAAAGACTGAAGATCCTGCTGTAGCAGTCTTTTGCCCTTCCAGCTCTTTAGGTGTGTCACCACAGCTATTGTCCAGAGAATCAGAAGGTTGCTGTGGCCACTCAGGAAAGGAAACCACAGGAAACAGGAACCCCAGAGTGAAGGCAAGTGATTGAGAATGAAATGCCCAGAGGCAGATGCAAAAACTTCACAACTGGTGAAGCCCGGTTATCTGCCAACCACACTGCCAGAGAAAATATGGCTTTTGCCTCCCTGCAATCTTCACTGGCAGAAAATAAATCACAGCTAGAACTCCAGAAGGAAAAAATCTAAAAAATATATTTTATCAGCCTCCAAGTACCTTCCATATATTTTATTCAATGAAAATGATTTTTGCCATTCTGTTTTTTGTGGTTTGAGACTGGGTCTCACTCTATCACCCCAGCTGAACTGAAGTCTGATGGCACAATCACAGCTCACTGCAGCCTCGATCTCCTGGGCTCAAGCAATCCTCCCATCTCAGCCACTCAAACAGCTGGGACTACAGGTTTGTGCAATGATGCCCAGCATTTTATTTATCTTTTTTTGTAGAGACAGGGTCTCACTATGTAGCCTAGGCTGGTCTTGAAATCGTGGGCTCAAGCCATCCTCCCACCTCGACCTTCCAAACTGTTGGAATTACAGGCATGAGCCACTGAGCCAAGCCCTATCTCCTGATCTTAAAGGTTTTTTTGCAAGTTGTATAATTAAAACTACCATGGTGTTTGGTATAAATGATAAAAATTTTCTCACTATATGAACATACACTGTTTATCAAGAATTCATAAATAATATCATGGGATGGTATTCTTTACATTTTTCCCTTGAAATTTTTAAAGGTATGAATTATGAAAGCCTCTTAGTGAAAAAAAGGGGAATGGCAGTTACCTCTTATCCCATGGCAGCCAATAAAAGTATATAATTTAGTTTATTATTTACATGAAAAAGTAATCTGATGCCCAGAGTTATGATCTCTGAAAATTTCAATCAGATACTCCATCGATAAAAACTTCTAGGCATAAATATCTAACATACACATATTTATCATGTACAAGTGCTACTATACTAATATAGATATTATAAAGCACAGAAATTTAGATAGGATGTAAAAAAGATAATTAAAAATGCTATAAAATACTATTCAATATTGAATATGGATCATTATTTCTGTGTGTGAAATTTTTCTATTGTGTTAAACATAACATAAAATTCACCATTTAGAAGTGTACAATTCAGTGGTTTTTAGTATATTCATAATCTTGAACAACTGTCACCACTGTCTAATTCCAGAATATTTCCATCATCTAAAAACAAACCCCATATATCTGTTAGCAGTGACTGCCAATTCCCTTTTCCTCCAACCCCTGGCAACTATTAGTCTACATTCTGTCTCTATAGGTTTGCCTATTCTAAACATTTTATATAAAAATAATAAAAAAATATGAGTCAGTATTTTTAATATGTTTGTTATAGCAGTTTACAAAACAACAATGAAAACTTGTTTCCACATCAGTTTTTTGATTCATGGTTCTGTTATCATGTCCAAAAAAGACTTGCAAAGATCCACAGACCCAAGTAGACATACATCATTTTTTCAGTCCCACTCATCAATCATTTTGTTGAAATTTGGCTAGAAAATATCTGCTTTCTCTAGGTTTTCTTTCTTTCTTTCTCTTTCTTTCTTTCTTTCTTTTTCTTTCTTTTCTTTCTTTCTTTTCCTTCCTTCCTTCCTTCCTTCCTTCCTTCCTTCCTTCCTTCCTTCCTTC